ATTCAAATTAATATACCAGCATATGCAAATTAATATACCAGCAAAATATGAAAATTAATATGCCCGCATATGCAAATTAATATATCAACACTATAAAAATTCATACCCACATAATTATGAAATTATTATGTAATCATCCATTATTATGCAAATGGCCTATGGTGTCGCCTTTTCTACTCTGGTATATGCAGGCTTTCTTGCTGCATTAACTGCCATCTAGTTCATGCCACTGGTCTTGTCCGCCTTGTTTCGTGGTTTCAATTATGCGCTCTCGTACATATTTTTGCTCTCCTATCTAGTGATATTTTCCACCAACGTCTTCTTTCAATCATTATAGTGGCGAATTAAAGAATTCCTAATGAGAGTCCAGTCCAGGCTACCACGACCAAAGTTAAAGGCAGGTACACATTTTTATTATGTCTATTTTAGATGGCCGGAAATTTGAATGGAAATTCAGATTTTTTTTCTCCATTTCTATTGAATTTATTTTCTTATTTTTATTTTATTTATTTATTTTATATATTGTTTTTTCCCCTTGAATCTCTGCCTATGTAGGCCTATGACCGGGGTATGAGTACCTCAGTTTTATAGTTGTGCAATGTCATTACTGTATTGTTGATAGTCTTATCACACTACACCAATAACTTGTGCAGGCTTCTGGCGACAAAAACCGTGAATTCAGAATGAAAATATAAATGCTTGTTATAGCAGTCATCTGGTAGTCGGATTTTTTACAGTACCGTAGTTGGATTTCTAAAAATACAAGAATGAGGGCGGCAAAGAAAGATCTAACCGATCTATAATGTAAATTCGTCTTTGTTTATTCATGTATTCACGCACGCTCGAACTGGCATCCGCTCGAATTGACTGGCATTCCGTTCTAACTCGCATCCGCTCAACAACTGGTAGAAGAACAGAGGCGGAGTAAGCGTTGATTACGCAATTCTCTTGTGACTTGAACTTGGTAGAAAAATGCTTAGTTTGTAACGGTAATATTTTCATTGCATTTCTTCTCATCGCCATGCCTAAATCAACATTTGTGGCCTACTTGCTATGGCTGATTGGCGGCTGGTTTGGGGTACACCATTTTTACCTTGGTCGCGACAGACAGGCTTTCGTGTGGTGGTGTACCTGGGGAGGCTTCTGTCTAGGCTGGATAAGGGACTTGTGGCGAATACCTCACTATGTACAGGCAGCTAACGAAGCCTATGAATACATGGACTGGTTGACATCGCAGTTGAGAAAAAACCAAAAACCACAATTTAGTACTGCAAGATGGACAGGACAACTCTGTTTTGGAACATTCTGTGGTTATCTTGTGCTCTTTGCAATACCAGAATCCTTAAGTCCTAACTTAATTACTATATTGCAATACATTGTTGTACCACTTGGTAGTGCAACAGGAGTTTATATTGTTGGAAATATTGGATATGAAACTGGATCGTTTAAATGGACATTATTTGGGGCCTATGGAGCACTAATTATTTTGCGGGAACCAACTGCTATTGCCATGGTTACAATTTCAAGCTCACTCTTATTTCAATGGACCAAGAAGTATAAGAGGAAAGTAGAACAAAAAGGCTTTTGTAGAAGACTTATAAAATTAACATTTGCAGGTATGCATAAAAAAAAACTTTTAAGGGCATGAGAAAAATTTATTAGATTATCACTTTAAAAAAAAAATGATGAGGGAGGCCGTTTTTTTTCCCTTTTAATCGGAACAATAGATTATTTCGCTTTTGTTTTTATCGATCGATGAGTGAGGGACTGTTTATATTTGGTCTGTAATAGTGAATATTGTCTAATATTATATAGTTTAACTGGTTTAATTTTATAGTTAAAAAAAAAATGTATTTGAAGTCACAAAATTGCATTGTTATTTTTATGCTGTTGAAATAATTGACGCGGCAAAACATTTTTTTTTTATTCCTGCATCAATATTTCCCTAATTTTTGACGTGGGCGGGAGTGATAATCTAATAAATTTTTCTCTTTGCCCTAAGGCCTACTTTCTATTTTGGAAGTCGATATGTTTAACATGACCGTAAACAAATCGGTAAACGTTTTATTAAATATTTTTACGTGAAATAGATAACACATACGCAGTGATACTTTAATACACTTGCATTATTGATCACGTAAATTACTCGCTTCTGGTTAAATGTACGTTGAGTTCAACTTTCAGTACTCAAAATCAGTGTCGGCCTAAGCCCATGTTACTGCCAATGTTGTTTTCGTTTGTGTTTGAATACTGTAAAACATTTACAAGTATTTGTTTTGTCTTACTTTATTCATAATGATTAAATATCTTACAGAAAATGCTTACATAGCTTCTCTCGTGGTCTTTCTCGGATGTTGTTCTCGCGCGATCAGCGCTCGACCAGACTAAAGACTATGGTAACAATGTTTTTGTTAGTGACAATGTCAATAAATGTGTTTGAATGAAAACATTAAAATGTTATTTACTTTGTGATGATTGACTATCATTCATACAACAATACAGGCTTAGGCTAATTGAGTGCTACTGTAGTTTTGATTCAGGGAACCTCCATGTTTTGGCATACAGTAGGCCTATTATACATTGTCAAGTGTGTTCATTCAACAAATGACGTAAGTAAATGAAAAGAACAAATATTTTCAGCTCATAATGTCACTTTTATTTGAAAAGTTAACACAATGATTTAATCATTTATTTAATGGTTAAAACATACTATTTGTAGGAAATTAAATTACATTTGATAAAAACAAAATTATAATTAAATCAGTGCTGTGGTAAGCTTTGGCACCGCGGCCTGGACCGACACTAATTTTGACCGACACTAATTTACAACGATAATGTAAGTTTATTAAAGTATGACTGCGCATGTGTTATTTATTTCACATACTGTAAATATCATTTACTGTTTGCAGTCACGTAAATATATCCACTTCCTTCTTTTTTTAAAGACTATTAGTAGCATTTTTCCAGGAAGTCTACTAATAGCTGGTTCCACAAAGCAAGGTTCCCGCTAACTATGAGTCGCGATAGAGTCACAGCGGTTTAATAATGTACGCACTATATTGGGACAATAAGTGTTTTCAACTTACCTTTCATATATTTACACACCACAAACCTCGAACAAACAAACTCGCGTCGTTATTGGGATGGTGCGAGCCTAGCGGATCTACTCAACGATGCATTTTTTGGTCTACAGTATAATAGAATTGTGCCAACAAAATAAGATTATAATATCCCCCATTCATGTTCCGTTTTTCTAATTATTATATCAACTACTAAATGTTAATAGAGCTACTGTAAACCTGGATGTAATCATCGTCTAATAAAATTTTGCAATTTTTCTGGAAGGTATTGTCAGTCGTCAATGAACAATCTGTGTCTGTTCTTGAATTCTGTTAAATATTGGCAACTTATTCTGATTTTGTTGCAAAGGGCAACTATTTCTGCTTTACTAGACGTCCATAACAACTCCATGGGCCCATACACACACTTTTACTCAATTTTTATGCATAGGCTAGGCCTAGAGGAGGCCTAGATTTTATTGGGATATGGAATAGGCTTTGCTACATTAATTTTGTTAAATGTATAATTGTATAATGCATATATTATTATTTTTATTCATCTAAAAATGATAATTACAGGCTTGCATTGGATAAAATTTTTACATTTTGTTGGCAATAGTCTACTTTGTGAATACTGTACTTACTTGGATAAACCGAAAAATTGACTATTCTTTCTCACACATGAGAACACCCCTTGAAAAATAATAGAACAGTCGACTCCTGGCGCCAAACTCAAGCGGCCCTGCCAACATGCAACTTCCTCATTCTCTTTCGAGTCACAAAAGTGAACACCTCGGAAGGATTTTTGAATTTAAACGATCTTTTTTGGATTGATATTACTTTTATCAAGATCTTCTTTGGATTTTTACTGCATCCTGATTGCTGTGTCGGATTTGCTGTGTAGTCACCATGACCGGCAAATCAGAATGTCCGATCTGTCGGGGCCCTAGGCCCAGTCCAAAAGTGGACAATCATAAAGCTTGTCCAGCATGTAGGGAGTTCTACAATGCTGAATCTCCTTGCGAGATTTACGTGAGATGGGCACCATCTCGACTCGTGGTCATCCAGGCCTGGCTGGGCGACCGTTTGTCGGGGGCTGCGGTTCCTGCAGATGCGGAAGCACCAACTTCTGAAGATTTGCCTCCGCTGCTGTCCGCGGCTCCGGCTCTGACGCCCGCTGTCTCGCAGCCTGCGGGAGCTGGCGTAGCTCCCAAAATTATGCAAGCAATTGCCGTGACAGTGCAGGCTGCACTGCCAGCCACTTTGAGTGCCGCAACAGTGCCGCCTCCTGCCGTTCCTCCTCCTCTTCCCCCTGAGCAACTGCCGGACCTTCCGTCTTTTGCTGATGAGGAGATGGCCTCTCTTTCAGGGGAATAGGAGGGGGACCGCTGGGAAGGTTTACAGGCCTTAGTAAACCGTGTTATCCCTACTGTCTTGGCGCACCTGAACATTAAAGCTCCCGATAATGAGCCGCCGGACCATCTTTGGTCTACATTCGAGAAGACCTGTCCATTGCGGATTGTTACTTCATATCCGGTGGTCCCTTTGGATGCTTGCAGTAATTAGGTAGATGTCTATAGAATAAAGAACATTTAAAATTTAAATGAATGTAAACATTGATCCAATATTCATCTGCAAAAATAGTTTTTTCACCTTATTTTACAAATAGACACACACATTATGTTCTGCTACATACAGTACATGTTATATTTTAATTAACAAAATATCAGAAAATAGTAAAAAAAAAATAAAATACAAAAATCGAAAATATAGGTACAGTATGCACTCAGGTTAATCCTGAGCAAATCATATTTGTGCAACTTTGCTATTGCACTTTTAATTAGTGTGTAATTTTCACAAAGTAAGGTGTATGTACATTATGTTCTGAACAATTATTTTTTCAATAGTAATTAGTAAGTTGTTTCACAGCAAAATTTAAATTTCTATACACACAAGAAAAATTCTGATCATTTTGAAGTCCAAGGTCTCTTTAAAAACACAGAAAATTTGGGTATTGCTAAACCCTGCAAACCTCCAAAAAAACACTGCAAACCCCATCCAAACCTTGTGATAGTGATTGAATCATGTAGTATAGGACTCAATTGGTATCTCAGTAAAAAAAATTATAATTTTAAAGTATGTTCGTAACAACCTACTTTTTGGGTAAAAAGGCCATTTTTTGTATAAAAACATTGCTACAGTAAACCCGCAAACCTCCAAAATAACACTGCAAACGCCATCCAATCCTTGTGATAGTGATTGAATCATGTAGTATAGGACTCACTTGGTATCTCAGTAAAAAAAATTATAATTTTATGTTCATCACAACCTATTTTGGGGGTAAAAAGGCCATTTTTAGTTCCTATGCATGTAATGCAATAGGAACTATTGTAATCACTCTTGCTATTTCCTATGTTTTTTATTGTGTGTATGTGTGTGTGTAGACATTTATGCAAATGCGCATGCGTCAAAGAAAAGTATTGTATGTTCGTCACAACCTATTTTTGGGGTAAAAAGACAATTTTTTGTATAAAAAAATGGCTAAACCATGCAAACCTCCAAAAAAAACACCGCACCATGCAAAGAATTCTAAACAAAACTAATGGCAAGAATGCCTGTCTCTTATACACATCTAGATGTGTATAAGAGACAGGTATTACTGCGATGCAAGGGTAGGCCTAGTTAGATCGTTTAATCAATGATATCGATATAATTGTATGTTCGTCACAACCTATTTTTGGGGTAAAAAGACAATTTTTTGTATAAAAAAATGGCTAAACCATGCAAACCTCCAAAAAAAACACCGCACCATGCAAAGAATTCTAAACAAAACTAATGGCAAGAATGCCTGTCTCTTATACACATCTAGATGTGTATAAGAGACAGGTATTACTGCGATGCAAGGGTAGGCCTAGTTAGATCGTTTAATCAATGATATCGATATAATTGTATGTTCGTCACAACCTATTTTTGGGGTAAAAAGACAATTTTTTGTATAAAAAAATGGCTAAACCATGCAAACCTCCAAAAAAAACACCGCACCATGCAAAGAATTCTAAACAAAACTAATGGCAAGAATGCAGATAAAAAAAAACGAGTCCATCTGTTTTGAAGTACTGTAGCTTGCATAAAAGCGGATAAATGTACACATACCTGTATCTCACTGTGAGCCTATTATGGTTATTGCTGTATTTTTATTGATTGGGTGTTCTAAGTGATATTATACTCAGTGAGTACATGGATGACAACTGTACATTTTCATTAGGCAATACATAACAATTGATATAATTCATTAGGCAGTGGAAAGTAAAATATAAGTGTTATTTATATTGTCCACTTGCCTAGAGGCTTAACGGTTTTATTAATATTATTTTATATTATTTTATTTTTTATGATACTTTGGACATACAAATACAACAGCATTTCAAAACATAACATTAAAAAACATACATTGAAAAAATAAAAGGAGCAAAAATTAAAGAGAAAAGACCAGCTGCCAATGCTTTGGAGACCAGCTAGTGCTTGCTAAATACAGTAGTAATGGCCTACTACTGTAACAACAAAACCAAAATGAACAGATATCAATGAAATTACAACACTTGAAAGATTTAACATGAGATGAGATTTATAAAATTGTGATGATAATTTCTTTTTAAAACATTGTACAGTATGGAATCGGGTTTAATTATGAATTAACATCATACACTTACCATCTGTCTTCTTATCATTTTTTCTGCTGCTCTGCATGAACTTGATCCTGCTTCTTTCCGTATGTCCAAATTGATCATCTCCATGTATTTTGTCAGCTCTCTTGTGGCTTGTTATAAAATTAAAAATAAAATGTTATTATTGCAAAAAAAATGGGGTTTTTTTCATTAAAAAATTATAACAGAATATCAGATAATTAATATGACCAAATTAAATTTTCAGATGCTAAAAAAGAACTTTTGAAATATTTAATATCAGATATTTTGGACATTTTTTACAATTACAAGATAATTGTTTCTAAAACTTATAGGTCTGAAGAATCCTAATAATACAGTATGTCTATGCCAAATAGACTCGGCCTACGTCCATATGAGAGCATACCATACATTTAAATACCCTAGGACTTGCTTTGTTTACTTTTACTTACAGGTCCAGGCGGCAGCTATGCTAGTGTAGGCCATTTTTAGGTAGAATAGACCTAGACTTGCCTATGGAAGACTGCTAGGAACATTTGAATTAAATTTAAAAACCATTAGTTTTATTGTTACTGTCATTACACATCAAGTTTTTAAAGGCCAGACACGTCATATTTAATCCTTTCCAGTCTGCTCCATTACCATTGCCTGAGGCTGTACCAAACCTGAGAAATTACATCATCTACACTAAATGTCGGGTATTTACTGGGCGCAGGCATTTGATTTGGTCTGAATACAGGAGGCCCTCTACAGAAATAGTTTCTACATCACTCTCAAACAATTCTATAGAGGGCAGCATAGCTATAAAAAAATTATTATGAAAGCTATACAGGGCGTATGTACGACGCCCCTCGCTATAAAATATGGTCAAAGAGGGCCTCGTCGCAACACCGTACGACTGGAAAGGGTTAAGGTGAGGTAAGAAAATTTGTGATTATGGCACCTCTACTGTAGATGGCCGGAATTTGCACTTCCAGGCATAGAATTTGAATATAATTTTCTTGATATCCATTTAAAAAAAAAAATGTGGAATTTAGGGAGTCCGGACCCCCTTTAATCCGCCACTGGGTGCTTTCGCAGATGCAGGATCTATACCACCTCAGCCCCACCATGGTTGGGGCTGAGATAAGAAAATTTGTGATTATGGCACCTCTAGATGGCCGGAAATTGCACTTACAGGCGTAACATTTGAATATAATTTTCTTTATATCTCCATTAAAAAAAAAACAAAAACAATTTAAGGAAGCCCGGGCCCCCTTGAACATGCCACTGGGTACTTTAACAGACAGAAGATTTATACCGCCTCAGCTCCACTATTGTTGGGGCTGAAGTAAGAAAATTTGTGATTATGGTACCTTTAGACGGCCAAAAATTGTACTTACAGGCATAACATATGAATATAATTTTCTTTATATCTCCATTTAAAAAAAATAGGAGGTTGGGGGTCCGCACTTACTGGGCTCCCCCTTGAATCGGCCACTGTTCAATATAACACTTGACATAACAGGGTGTACACTAATTTTGTCAGATGGAGAAATCTTATAGCCTATCATTTTGTTTCATAAATACTAATTCCTTATGTCAAGTAAAAGATGTTTTTATTCAAAAGATTTTTTTTTATTCAATACAGTTTTTACAAGCTATAACACATGAACTACAGTGTACTATAAATTATATAGTTAACCTTCAGAGAACTTTATTTTAATAAATGGCCTAATTAAGTGTCTTATTGTTTTCTTTAAATTAGATGGAATTTAAATGTGGCTCTATTACATAAGCCAATCAGTTAAACTTATACTACATTAACATAAAGAGAACTAGAGCGTTGCTCCATAAAGGGAGCCTAGCTCCATCCTATGCATAAATGCAGAATTCATGCAAGGCGGGCGATTCCATTCTTTTTTCTTCATGCTCGAGGGTATTAGTTTAAAGAAAACTTTACAGACGTACATATACACAGGCGTCAATCAACATCTGGCTCAACTCAAAAAGGGAACTTGTAATGTTTGTTTGAAAATAAAAAGGAAAATTTATATTGTACAATAATAATAGGTTGATTTGTAAAGTTCAAATACTCATACGTAAAATCAGGAGCCATGATATGTTACGGAACTGTTCAACATGTCTTCTTTGATAATATCATGAATATTTATTTTTTTTTAAGCCGTTGGTTGGTCATATAAATACCTACATAGGAAGAAGCATAAAAATATAATTTCCGTGTTAGCACCCTCACTACAAGAATATCTAAAAATGTTCAAAAATGTCTAATAGTGACCAACAAAGGTCTCACTACTTTTCGTCTATATTCAAACTGCCGTCGAGTGGGTCTCCACAAAAAACTGATAGAAACGGGAGTTAAAACAGTACTAGGCCTCCGGTGACTGACCCCAACTAATCAGTGCCTGTGAAATTTGTTGTGATTCTTTGTGATCAGGATTTCATGGTAATTGGAAGTTAATATAGATTGTAGCACCCAATCGCAACGGATTTATAACAATTACAATATTGATTATAGACTACCTTTGGAGAATTTACACACACGATCGTGAATTGGAATTGGGTGTTGCAATTGGTACGAACGATCGCAATACGATGCTAAGTCGTATTTTTTTTTAGATGAGGAGCTCTAGGAGTACCCTGCTCACTGATTAATAGATCTTTTTGTATGGGCGGCTGTTAGGGCCAATATACTCTACTTAAAGCAAGACTTTTTTTACCTTGTTTTGCGAACCCACAGCCCGCCAATACTGATGACTTTGAATAAAATTGAATTTTATTTAATTAGCCATTTAGCACACCTGCCACAATACAAAAAAGTGGAAATTTCACAAAAAAATTGAAGTTTTTCTTTATTTTTATTATGCCTGCCACTGCCTTTAATCTCCAAAAAATAAGATATATTTTTTCCTAATTATGTAAATTTAAAGCATTTAACCATCCCACTGTTTACATTCAACAATGAAATTTTATTATTATTTTCTCTTCCATCTAGATGTTTTTGGCAAAACCATTTGCTATATTTGAAAACTAAATTTATTTTTATTTTTTTCCGCCTGATATATTTAGGAGCACTTTTAATTAACTTTTACAGGTGTCATTATAATTTGTCTGTGGAGTTCTTTCTTGTACTACAATGCCTCTGTTGTGACGTCTGATGGGGAAACTGTCTATGTACGAGAAGCAGTACACCATTTCTTGGAGTCAACTTTCTACAAAGAATTGAAAGCAACTTTGTATGAGTTGATTCATATTGGTTGGCAAATGGGCTGGAGGGGCATGTACGAGGCCTTTGTGGAAGCTGTGGACCCACTGGGTGAAAGTAATGCACTCAAGGTAAAAACTTCACTTGTTTACACTATAGTACTGTATGATGTTCATCATTGAAAATCTAAACTTACCAATTCAATTTTTATGAATTTCATTTATTGATTACAAATTTCTGTGCGAACAAATGTGCTGGTTCCATGTGTTAATTACCTGCAGTTTATGTTGTGGTGTTTTTGTGTAATACTATTGATGTCTGAAAATGTACATTAAGTATTATCCTGCACTCTCAAAACCAATCCGATCCTCCTATTCCCTCAGTTTTGTGCCTGGCCTGTTGGTTGCTTATGTAGAATGGTGAAATTATGGCAAATTTAGGTACATGTATCAACTGTAGTGCCGCCAATGTGCGGAATTCCGCTGATATCCATGGGGACTAATTGATATTTTTCATGCGAATGGATAGGTCGACGATCTGGTTGGACCATGAACACTATTGATTTTGCAATTAACCTACCTTTTATGAGAAATTATTATACAATTTAAAATATTGAATATACACAATCAAAGCAATCAGAATATTCTACCAGTCTATTCTACCAGTCTATTCCAAATAAACTTTTCCATTTCAGTATTTTTTCTCAGCAGCCTATCACCTTTCTTGAATATTGGCACCATAATAGCCTCTTACCATGACTTAAGAGGAACTTTCTTGAAAATAAAAGGATGTGCAATTAAATTTTAGTCTACAATAGGAAGCAAACTTTAACTGCAACAAAATTAGAAGAAAAAAAACTTCCTCAAAAAGTTTACATAATGCCTTGTTATTCAGAAATATAACTGTGATACACACCACAATAATCATTTTTGCTCTTCTAAATTATTTTCAACCAATACAGATTCAAAGAACACCATTCAAATTAAACCTCCAACAGCCTTCAATACCATCCCAAATATAATCTTGCACACCTTTTCCTGAACTTGCTGTAATTCCTTATCTGATAATACAACTGATAAACACTGAGAAATCTGCTATATCAAGTCTAAACTTCAATAACATGTTCAATAGTGGTACAGTATATAACCACAAATTGTGTTTGAATGTCTTACAGGCACTTAATTTGACAAAAGGTGTGGAAAGAGAAGAGATATCTAGAAGATGCAGGAAGTTATCAAGAGATTGGCATCCAGACAAACACAAAAAAGAAAAAGACAAAGCACAAGAAATGTTCATCAAAATACAAGATGCCTGTAAAATACTTCTTGATATTCACAAGAAAAGAGAGCCTTAAGCCATTTTCAGACAGAGGTTCTGACAATATTGCGGTAATAGTACCGCTTATCAGACCATTCATACCATCCAAATATATTTTTTATTTAAATTGCCTTCACATCCAACAGCAAGTACACATGAGAATGATGCTTTATAAAGTGTATTGCCATAATATTTTGCTATAATATAGCATCTTTTCTGTATAAATGGATCATGCATGCTAAGAGAGCCATTGGCTATCATTTTAGTATAAACAACCCCAGACTCACTAGTGCCATCAATTTGATGACAAATCTCCCCTTCTGCACTAAGTTTTAAAGGGAGGGACTTTCACTGATGGAAGGTCTACACTCTACACCACCTTTGGTCTATCATGGTTGGGTCTAAGGTAAGACATTTTATGAATATGGGATTCTCACGCTTTAACTTTGAATTAATTTTCTTTTTTTTAATTGCTAATTTTTAAGGTGATTAGCTTATATTTGAAATTAAAAAAAGAAAACATTTTTTTTGCCAAACAGATATATTAAATAATGCTGCAGATTGTGTTTGAATGTGCCATTTTCAGCCATCTAGGTGTCCTAGACAGTGTAGTACAGGGATTGGGGGGGGGGGTGGGGAGGAACTGAGAATCCCCTTGTTTTTCAAAGGTGAATAAAAATTTATTAGCAATTTCTTGAAAGATTTATTGAAAAATATTACATATTATGTTTTTTTTAAATTTATACATTGCTTCTACTGGTCTGATTTTGTGTATTATCTTTCATTTTAAAGTAGAATTTAATAAACTACTCAACATTCCATTTTCAGACATGACATTTTGAACCTCAGCTGTAGCTGTGGTGAGGCTGAGGTAGTCTGCACCAGGTCTGGAGCCTCCATCTATTAAAAAATATTTGGATCTGTCACTGTTCTGTACAACCGCAATTTTTTATGGCTGGTATTAAATGATTTAAAGATTTTTATAGTGAATTTGGTGAAAAATATTTCAATTATTAAATGTTTTAAATTTGAAGTTTTGAGGGATTTTATCAGAGATAGTTTTATTAGTGACAATGCCACCCAGTCAGGCTGGAAAATTACTAACAATTGTTGTTTCATCACTATAGTAATAATTTTTCAGCTGCTATTCTTGATATTGTTCTGAAACCAATAGTAAAAGTATGTTATAATTTGTGGGATTGCAATGAAACCAACATGAAGCTTAAGTATTTTAATAAAAAATCTTAAGTTCAGGAAAATAAAATAAATAAAAAGTATAAATTGTGATTGGTTTTTTTTTTTTTTGTAATTTTGTTCTTCATTTTTATTGGTTCCTATTAACAATAGGAACCTTTGCATCCTACAGGGTGCCATGATACCTCAGTGGTGCACGCACGTGTGTGTTAAAGTTAAGTTTTCAAAAGTTTGTAATCAGGAAAAAATGACTTCCCAGAAATCTGTTTGTTATGCATTTTCGTACACAAGCTAAACTGGATATGACAAATATTAAAGCCATAACTAAGACAGAAAATACCCACTACTCCTAAAATACTACAAAACCGTATGGTAAGACAATGAAATGTTGATGAATTTTCGGTGTCGCCTAACTGTCTAAAATGCGATGTATGCGACTGTAGGGACTATCATGGATATATCTTATATCTGGGAGCCTAGCTAAAATGGTAGTACAGGTCTCCCTCCAATTAATGACTACTTTCGAAACTGGGGTTTTGGTAGTCTTTAGCAACTTTGGTCTCTAATTAGAATACCTCTAATTTAAGACTGGCACTAAAAGTGGTCTTTAAATACCCTATTAAGTTAGAGGGAAATTCTGTTTTAGAATAAATTTACAGTTAAAGTACTTTAAGCTGCGGTTGATTCTTAATAGTAGAATGCCTTAAAAAAATGGAAGAATCATTACACGGATGACAAAACTTTAATTTTTGTTGGAGATACTTTTATCAACATGCTTGTAAAGAAAATCTCTGGAACCAAAAAAAAAATCATCTTGCTATTTTTGACTATTATAGTGCAAGACATACATGAACAAATAGGTTTAGAATCAATATTATCATTATTTAGTTAGAAATAACCAACAAAAAAAAATCGCTTTTGTAACAATCAAGATTTTGACCTTGTGCATAGATTAATAATTGGATAATACCTATATGAAAAAAGTGCCAAATTTGCTACAGATATTAGTATGGGCAAACGATTTTGAAAAATCTCTGAAACCAAAAAAATACATTTTTTTGGGTGAAAAATTGAATTTTTGGGGAAAAATATGGTTTTTAATACTTTTGTATTTTTGAATACAGTATTACCCCGGTGTAGTACAAGGCCTACTTGTACAAACAGGTTTAGAATCTATATGGTCGTTCTTTTTTCACAAATAAGCAAATAAGAATGAAATACTTTTATCAACATGCTCTTCAAGAAAATATCTGAAACAAAAAAAAAACAACCTATTTTTTGACACTTTTTTGGGCTAAAAACAGTTTTTTTTTGTAAAAAAAATAGAGATTTTTTGACATTTAAACTATAACTGGTATTTTTTTGCATGTCAAAATATATTCTAATTTATAGTATGCCTCACTGGTCGATAACATGTCAGAATCTGACATAAAGGGTTTAAGAAAAACCCTGATTTTGTGCCATTTTTTAGGCTAAAAATATGATTTTTTTAAAATTAAAAATGATAGATTTGTTGACATTTAAATTATAACTAATATGCTCGGCATGTAAAAATATATTAAAACCAATATCATATATCTCACTGATCAATAATAGAATCTGACATAAGTTTTTTTTTAATCCCAATTGTGTCCATTTTTGGGTTAAAAAGAAGATTTTTGGCACAAAATAGATTTGTTGACATTTATACTGATATGCTTTGTATGTAAATATATACAGTATTATATCTCACTGATCAATAATATATCAGAATCTTATGTAAAGGCATTAAAAATTGATAACAAAATTTAAATTTGTTTGCATATAAAACTACAGTTCTCTGTATGGAAAAATACAAGTTAACCAATATATTACCTGATTAGTCAATATAATAGCATCAGAATCTTGCGTAAAGGTTTTTACAAAATCCCAAAATTTTTAGGCAGTTAAAAACTGATTTATGTTGACAAAAATTGTTTTGTTGAGATTTAAAGTACATTCTGATAATTATGTGCTATGTATTATACCTCACTGTTCAGTAATAGTGTCTGGTATATAAAATGTTAGACCATTTTTTGGGCGAAATACAGTTAATTTTTGGTAAAAATAGAGGTCTGGGCTTTTGTTTTGGTTAGACACTCTCATAAAGCCTATAATGATTGAGTGAATTTGACCCTCACTGGGCTCACCCATAGTCTTCCAAGGCCTATAGGGATTCCCGTAGACAGTTTCCATGGGGGTGGGGGATGCGTCTTGCTAGCAACATGGTCTTCAGGCTGTGTGCCACCTATGGCTCCCAGAGGGTCGTGACAAAGTGCGAGTCATGTGAGCCAATGCGAGAGCCAGCAAGTCATGCGAGCCAATGCGCGTGCCAGCGAGCCATGTGAGCCATACATTTTAAATCTTTGTTTTTTTCCACTGGGGAGCTTTGCCTGTGTAGTCCTGTCATGCACAGTACATACATTTTGGACCTTTTCGAATCGTCGATCCAAAAGTATGCAGCGCTGATAGAGATGTTAAAATACAGATATACCTATACATACATACAGATAATATTTATATATATATATATATACTGTATTTATTTATATATATTATTTTATATATACTGTATATATTTATATATTTTTATATTTATTTGTATATTTATATATATTTATTTATACATTCATTTATATATTTATTTTTATATTTGTTTGTATATTTTTTGTATATTTATATTTATTTGTATATGTATTTATATATATTTATATATATTTATATGTTTATATATTTATATAATTTTTAAAATTCATTTGTATATTTGTATATGTTCATATATTTATATATATATATATATATTTATTTGTATATTTATATATATATTAATAAGTTCATATATTTTTTATATATTTATTTGTATATTTATATATATTTATATATATATATTTATACATATATATATATTTATATATATGTAAATATTATATTTATTTCTATATATTTATTTCTATATATATATCTATATATTTATTTATATATACTGTATTATTATATTATATATACTGTAATTATTCATATATTCATTTATATATTTATTTATATATTTATTTGTATATTTATTTATATATATTTATGTATTTATATATTTATTTG